CATTTTCTTGTTTTAGACTTGGATCTAGACTTACCCCTTCTCTGGTTGAATTTTCTCACATTTGAGTTATCATTGTTAGCATGTTTATGGTTTTGAAACTTATTCAAAGTTCTACCCCTCACATGCATAACCTCCCCAGAATTTTTATCACTCTTAGAATTTTTCAACTCTAATTCCTTACTCTTAAGACCATTCACAACAACATCAAGAGAAATATTATCCCTACCATATTTAATTGCAGATTTAACATCACTGTAGGAATCAGGAATAGCATTAACCCATTTTTCAGAACATTTAGATTCTAATGCTTCACGATAAGTCTTGGGTTCATCACACTCAAGGGATTCAAACACATGAAAAGCAAACTCAGACATATTACAGTCATCAACATATCTCGCAGGTTTGCTAATGGTTCTTCTATGTCTTTAGACATATCAAAAGAGCAATAGGGGTGTAGTCATCAATATGTTTATCACCGGTTAATTTAATATCAGAAATCAGTTTGGTGAAAACATCTAGATTTTCTTCTATGTCTTTAGACATATCCAATCTAAACTTGAAAAATTTTTCAAGCAAGAAAATCTTATTTGGCAAAGAAGTTTCAGTATAAAGTTCATCAAGTTTATTCCAAAGATCTTTAGCACATTCCAAGATACCAACTTTTCTGATCACACAGTCAGTTAAGTTTAAGTAAATTATGGAACAAGCAATTTCATTCATTTCAACTCTTTTTTCTTTAGAGTCTGTTTCTAGATATGAATTACTAACAGCCCTATAAACTTTTTGATGAACAAGAACACACTTCAATTTTTGTTTCCAAATACTAAAATCAGTTTTTCCATTAAAAGGAATCAAAGCATACTGATTCATAGTAGACATATCCACAAAGGAGAAAAAACCCACAAAAGAGAATAAAAAACTAAAAAAATCAGCAACACAAAGGCACGTAGAATATGGCCTAAATTTTCCAAATTTGGCTCACGTGTGTGAAGCAATCGCACGAACAACTCAAGATTATTATGTTAGCAAAAATTGCTTACTCAATCCCGTTGTTCTTTCACACGAGCACAAACTACTGGAATTAGGCAATCGGAAATAATGCAGCGGAATTAAACAACCCTAAAAAATGCTACGAAAGCAAAGGGATAAAGAGTTGTGTACCTGGGCGAATCTAATGCCTAGATTCGACTTACCTACTCCACGGAGGAATGAAAATTGAGAGTGCCGACAGCGGATGATTGAACAGCCGTTAGGATTTTCTGCTTCTCCTCCTCCGGCCTGCGCTTTCTTCTGCTCTAACAGATCCTTTCTTCTTCTTTTTCGCCGGAGAACAACGGCTAAACAGTCAGACAGAGGACGCAGATAATCCGAGAAGGAAACAAGAAAAAATCACTGTTTTGTTTTTTGTTTCCGATTCAAGCTCAAGAGACGCAGAAGAGATTTTTTTTTTCTTTATGGGTGAAGTGCACAGACTGAAGGAATAAAACAATGATTGATGGCTTTGAAAACTTGACCGAAGGAAACAGAACAAGAGAAAAAAAACAACCCCCCTGCCAATGAACAGTGAATCCGAAAAATGGAACAGAACACCCACGAAAATAAATAAATACTGAGCACAAAACCAGGCTCTGATACCACTGTTATGTGTATTTATTTATTCCGATTAGGCTCAGGTCACCCGTAAAATTCGGTCCGTAGTTGTGCACTACAAGGGTACCAAAAAGAGCAACACCCCAACCCAACCTCGCCACACTCCACTCACAAAGAAACGGAGAAGAACTGAGATCAACTCACAAAGGAAGAAAGAAACCCACACGGAAGTCTCACAAAGAGAGAAAAGGAGTTTTGTACGGTGTAGAAACACAAAGGCAAGCCCTCAATATATAGTGGAGATTAGGGTGGTAATTAAGGCAAGCTTAATTAGGTTAAGGAGTATAGATTGGGCTTGAGTAAATGGGCTGCTGAGTTGGGTGTCAAATATTATTAATATGTTTGGGCCAACCCAAATAAATTAACACTAGCCAAGGTTTTTTATCTTTTTCTTTTTTAAAAAAAGAAACAACATTAAGCGCATGTTCTTTAAAACTGGAAAAAAATCTGGATGTTGGAAGAAACTGGAAGAATTGGTGCTTCCTCTGTGAACTTCCCAAAGATAAAGGCAGGACAGACCCACACTAGTCCGAATGGAGTCAGCCGGAGTCACTCCAGTTCAGGAGCTGTAATACCTCGTATCAAGATGGGAATGGGAAGAGCTCAAAAGGATTGACAGTACTATTCATACCAACAAGGTGCATCTTCTTTTCGAGAGCTCATCACCTAAAAAAACTCCAAAGTTAAGCGTGCTTGACCTGGAGTAATTTTAGGATGGTGACCCCTGGGAAGTTTTCCTTGGGCGCGCACGAGTGAGGACAAAGTGTGCGGGAAAGACTTGTGTTGGTTTGTAGGGCCAGTCCAGTCTATAATCCTATGAGCGGACACTTACGGCCAGGGTGGGGGCCGGGGTGTTACAATTTGGTATCAGAGAAGTTCGGTTTTGTGAAGAAAACATATTTTGTCATCTTAGTCAAAGGGTATTTTCAAAAGTCTACAGCCGCATCTCCCATCACATCACATATTCACATCCAGGAAAGGTACACCGTTATTTAATTCACTTATATGTCATATTGTAATTAGTTTTGATTTAAGCTCTCCTTATGGAGAATGAGCCAAGCAGCAGGCAACGATGGATAGGTAGATCCACTTGTGAGTGCCTGAGCACGTGAGCACACATCGAAGCGACAAACTAATTGCATTATGTGCTCACTTGTTCCCATTTTGATACTCTGCCATTGTTAGAAGAGTACCATTAGTACCAGAAGCGTGTCAAGCATTGACTCCAGTCGAACTTTCGTACTTGGTAAGAGACGAAAGAACAAGAGGCAGAGTTACGATTCGAAGGAGCGCTACCAACGCGCACATCGCAAGGCTCGGATAGCAAGGCTAAGGATCCGAAAACGTTGGAAGGCAGCGTGGGAAAGAGATGATCGAGAGGAAACATTTAGCGTGGACTCTGCTAACAGTATCTGCGGCGCAGGTGTGGATATTCCTCCAATGGACTCTGCCCGACTAGACGAGTGGGTTACCTGTTAACTTATGGCATAGTCGAGGTTGTACTCGATGCAACATTTCGTCCCACTTATCTAAACCAAACAAGTTCCTTGAACGGAATCCGTCGATTTCCCTTTTTCTATTATGCCCTTGTATTCTCCACAAAAAGTTTTGGGTAACGCACTATCTCCCTAAACACGTGAGGTGTGACTTGAGGAGAATTTCGGGGACGAAATTCCTTTAAGGGGGGGATAATTGTAACGCCCTCAAACCGGCCTAGTTTTAAATAAATAAATATTATTGAGACTCATTATTTTAAATTATTAAATATTGAGATTACGATCCGTTCAAATGATTTCCAAAGCTAATGTATTTTAATTATTATAGAAGATGTTTTAATAACGGGTCTCTCGACATTAATTAAGTAAATAAATTAATTAATGATTGGGATGGATCCGGAATTTTGAAAATAAAGTTTTGAGGAAAATATTTTGAAGATATCATAAATTTAGTTTTGACTGTTTATTTCCGAAAATGCAATCGGTTTTCAATTCGGACAACTTCGGGGGGAAACCGCGTACCGTTCAGGCCAGACTTTACACAATGGAATGTGAATTGGGGAGGACTCCTCATTTACTCCCCTCCCACGCCACACACACACTCTTCATCTCCCATAACCCCCCATTCATTTCTCATCTTTATCTCTCTTATTAATCACCATTAGCTCCTCTATTATAAAACTCCCTCTTCCCTTCACCTCCTTCACAAACTTGTAACCCCCATTCAACATCACAACTCTCCCACTCTCTCTTGTTGTTCGGACAACCACAGCGGCATCCAGGCGAGGAGTTTTCCAGAGAGAATACTAGGAGGTAGAAGAGAAGGAGGGCTACGCGAGAAGGCGTTCATTCATTCGTTCGTCCGTTCATCGTTCATCGTCATCCATCCGTTCATTCCATTTACGTTTCATCAACCCCTTCATTTATAGGTGAGTAGTTGTCCCCTCTAATTCTAGAACATTTAGTTATAATCTATGTCGTTATATTCATAGAAATATCGTACGCAACCTACGTAGAATCTATGCATGTTCGTAGGTTAACCATCAAAACGTTCACTACGTGACCTTATATATATTGGCCTAGGAATCACTAGGAATATATCCCACAAATGTTTGTATTATTGTCTTAAAAAGAATTAAGGCATTAAACTTCCAAAACGGATCAAAACGTAGCCAAGGACAGAAGACTGTCACCGGGACGGTCGACCGTCGCTTCGGACGGTGGACCGTACCCTCAGCCGTTGCAATGGTCATCACCGTGACGGTCGACCGTCAGCCGCGACGGAAGACCTAGGTGGACCATCTGTGACCCAGACCCAGACCGTAGCTCACGGTCGACCGGCGGTAGGGCACGGTCGACCGTTCCGCGGGCAGAATTCCGGGCAGTTTGTAGAACGAGCCCCGTTGACCATATTGACCCAGAATCGGTTTGTATTCTTGCATGAAATGTTAATCTACATTATGTATGTCATTTAATTGATATATTTTTGGCATTGACCAAAGGTAAATATGTCAAGCATTCATCATATACATCCTAGACGCATGTCCTAGGTTTATCATCATGTGCATACCGCTGTAGGGAGGTCAGGCTTTCGTGCGCCTACTACAGTGGGCCCGTCCAGGAACCTTTGGGATCCAACGGGTTTTCATCAGGTGGGCTTGTGTACGTACATGGTAGTCAGGTTACGGCTACTACCCAGTTTTGCTAGTCCACTTGTGACATTTATGTCGAGCCCGGCTCATTACCGTTTTGGTATGATAACCGGGGTGCACGGGTGGTCCTGTCAACTGAGACTAAGCCAGGGGTGTCCCTGATAGTTTAGGTCATGCATCAAGTCGTATCATCAACATGTATGTTCCACATCACATTCACATTCAATGTGGTAGCACATCATTCTGTTATATGCAATAGTACCCCCAACAGGTGCAAATTGTACAGTTATTACACATGTGGTTTTCCGTACGTTAAGTACAGGTATTAATGTGTGTATAATCATATGGGTTATCACTTCATGTTCTTTTGTTAGATTCACTCCTCAGCTTTTGCTGAGCGTGTAGTTGTTTTTGCTACACGCAGGTACTCATGACGGTACAGGTGCTAACCCTAGAGGACAGTGATGATGGGAGGATGGGCGGCGCACGGACGAGTTCAATATTTAAATATATTTAATCAGTTAATCATTTGGGAAAGAACCCACCATTTGTCGTTTTGGACTTATTTATTTCCTTCCGCTTTTACTCTGCATTTATATCACACACGTTTTGGGGTTAACTCCCTAGCATTTATTCCACTAATTAAACACAACCGTTTTCATAATAAATGGACATTAATGTTTTTCGCTACGGACGGTTCTCGGACCGCCCATGTAACCCTATCGGTCCGTTGGGTCGCGGGTGAACCGGGTCCGCGGAAGGCGGGTGTTACATTTTTGTTAGTTGTATTTTAATTATTGGTGATATTATTTGTTATCTGAATTTATTTTTTACACTTTTGGGTCATTTTTTCTTTTTCAAGATATAATTCTATTTTGGTTTTCATAATGTAGTACTCCCCACCCTATTCCATTATTATACGGAGTATTTTAGATTAAAATATTGATGTTTTACTTATATAAATTTGGATTAAAAAAATTTCATATAACTATTTTATCCATAATTTTTTTAAATAGTTTAAAATATTGATATTTTCCTATTTTATCTTGTAGATTAATATACAAAAAATGATATTATTCATATTAAAAAGTTGAAAAAAAAAATAATCAGTATCAATCATAAAAATAGTGATATGAAAAAATGAAATAATTTATAAACTATAGTTATGAACATAATAGGTGTAATAATAATAATAATAAATCGTTTTTAGAATAATTGGTCTGTAAGGAGAAAGAGTTTGAAGAAAATAAAAATAGTGAGAAGAAACCGGAAGGAACTGGAAAAAGCTGGAAGAGACTGGAAAAAACTAGAAAAGTTGTAAGAAACTGGAAGAAACTGGAAAGAACCAGAAGGAACTCGAAAGAACCGGAAGGAACTCGAAATAACTAGAAAGAACTGGTAGAAACATGAAGTTAATAGTTCAACCCCTAAAGAACATGCTCTAATAATCAATATTTTTTACCCTTTCCGTCATGATTTATGATTTGGTAACAAGAAAAAATGTCAAAGTTTATATTGCAGTAGAAAAAATAAAAATATAATTTTTTAATAAACACAAGCTACACCAAAGTTAAACTAATTATTTTATTGTGATAATAATTAAAGTGACTAGATAAGTAAAAACGATAGCTTGACAGTGAAATCGATCGTAAAAGTAAAAAAATATATAAAATAATAAATGAAATATTATAAAAATGATTTTAGTTTAAAAATAATAAAAGTCCTATTTTTATATATGTATAATACCTATGTTTTATAATTATTTTATGTGGAGCATTCATAGACACAACCCTTTACTAATTGTTAGGAATTTTAATCTAGTTAACACTAATCTTGAGTCTACCACTGGATAATGGCATACTTACTTTGAAATTTGTCATGATCAACTCACTAAAAATATAATAATTAAACCATAATGTGGTTTAATAATAAGAATTGAGAGTACTGAACTACCTAATCGATTGGATTCAATCTTTTAATGTGGTTCAACCCAAGTGTCTTATTTCCAATCCAGTTGTCCATACTCCATCCTAAGAAGATAAAGTAGTCACTCAATGAATGACGGGTAAGTGGACTCTCCGTTCAATTAGAATCACAATAAGCTTCCATTTGAAGTGGTGATCGAGAGCTCAGTAATACACCCGGGCCCGGAGACCTTTTGAGATACCCAACGACGCGCATCACCCCCTCATATTGTGCCTCGAAAGGTGCTTTGATAAATTGTGAGTATACATAAACCGCATATGAAATATTAGGACATGTGATAGTGAGATAGACCAGTTCCCCGATGAGTCATCGGTAGCGGTCTAGTTTACAGCTGGCTTTTGTCGAGGGCCATTTAATAATGACGTTGTTCAATAGAAAAACTTGCGGGCTTGCATCCCAGCAATCCAACCTCCTCAAAGATATCGAGAGTATATTTTTTTTGGCACAGAAATATACCATTAGCATGGCGTGCGATCTCAATTCCTTGAAAGTACTTCAGTTTTCCAAGGTCTTTAATTGGGAACTTTTCATCAAGATAGGCCTTCATACGTGTGTAAGCGTCCTTGTTATTTCCTGCGAGGATAATATCATGAACATACGCCAGCTCTTGACAAAAAGTGAAGAAAGTGTAGTTGGCCCAAGAGCCATGGTGGATCTTGCCACTCTAATTGGGGCCCTAAGAGCGACAACGATCAATGCAACCGGAAACAACCCTCTACACTTCCAGATACAAAACTCTCAACGGTGGTGCCGGTGGCGGTCTTAGGGGGTGTTTGTTTTTTTGGTGACAAGAGCTTCTAACCACTTATGTCTGCACCGTGCAGACGCGGACAGACATTAGGGACGCGCAGACTGTTTGTTTTTTAGAAGACAAATCACTTAAAAACGTCTTCCAAACATCTTCCTCAAGCAGACATGAACCCTTAGCTTCTCACGTCTTCTCATCCGCCTCCCTTCCGATCTCTCCTTTCTCGATCTAAAACCTACCCGTCTTCTCATCCACTTCCCTTCCCGATCTCAAAACCTACCCCCGCCGGCGACTTCTCTCTCCCTCCGCCGGCTCTCCTCATTCTCCCCAGCCGTCTGTCGTCCCTTGTTCGTCGTCCGCCGTCCGTCTTCCTCCGCATAGCCGTCCGCCGTCCATCAGCCCTCCGTCTCCCTCCTCATCACCTCCAGCGACGCCTCCTCCTCTCAAACAAGTAAGTTTTTTTTCACTTTTTTGGTTTTTTTAATCTCTTCTTTTAACAATTTTTTTAACAATTTTTTTGTTACAGATTCATTCAAAGTTTGTGTGGCCGATTTTCTAAATCAAAGTTGTAAGCCATCTTGTCGGATTCCGCTCAATTGTTTATCGTTCTCTCGAAGGTAATGTTGCGTGCCCATTTTTCTGACTGGATTATTGTTCGTTTCTTGAATCATTAGATGTGAATTTGGGGTTTTGGAATTAAGAAATGAAAGCAAGCTACTGTTCTTGAGATTGTGTACAATTCTTGTTCATGGAGAAACTCCAGTTAGTACATATATATATATATATATATATATATATATACAGACTTGTGATTATCGGCACTGGATGAGGGAAGTGCCTTTGGTGTTTTTTGACTGTGTTTTTGTTGTTAACAATTTGTACAATAGTCTATGTTTTTTATATATACAGCGAGACCCTCATTTACTAATCTGCGTAGCGACAACACAATATATATTCAAGGCATATTAAGAAACCTCATCCTTGCCGGCAACAATTTGTACAATATTTTTTTACATGTTTTTTATTTTTTTATATAATCGTGAACAATTTGTTGTTAATTGTTGCTAAAGATTGCTGTAGTAGTTCATGTTGTTGATTATTGTTGTTGTAGTTCAGATTTGTTGTTAATTGTTGCTAATGATTGTTGTAGTAGTTCATGTTGTTGCTCTTTGTTTGTTAATTAACAGAAATGGGAGAAAAACAACAATGGTCAAATGAGCAAATAAAATGCTTATTAGAGACTTGTATTGAAAAGGTAAACATGTTGGGTAGAAAAGGGTTGAGTTTGCACAAAGAGTCGTGGAATAAGTTAGGAAGAGTTCTCAAGGAAAGGTTTGGGCTTGATTTGAGTCAAAAACAGATGAGAAATACGTATGACAATCTGAAAGCCAAATACAGTGGATGGGTGTATTTGAAAAACAAAACTGGCAACATATACAATGCTCAAACAAATACTTTTACCTTAACGAACGAGGAATGTAACACCCCGGCCCCCACCCTAGCCGTAAGTGTCCGCTCATAGGAAAGAGTCGTGGAATAAGTTAGGAAGAGTTCTCAAGGAAAGGTTTGGGCTTGATTTGAGTCAAAAACAAATGAGAAATGCGTATGACAATCTGAAAGCCAAATACAGTGGATGGGTGTATTTGAAAAACAAAACTGGCAACATATAGAATGCTCAAACAAATACTTTTACCTTAACGAACGAAGAATGTAACATCCCGGCCCCCACCCTAGCCGTAAGTGTCCGCTCATAGGATTGTAGACTAGCCCCACAAACCAACACAAGTCTTTCCCGCGCACTTTGTCCTCACTCATGCGCGCCCAAGGAAAACTTCCCAGGGGGTCACCCATCCTAGAATTGCTCCAGGTCAAGCACGCTTAACTTTGGAATTTCTAGGTGATGAGCTCTCGAAAAGAAGATGCACCTTGTTAGTATGAGTAGTACTATCAATCCATTTGAGCTCTTCCCATTCCCATCTTAATACGGGGTATTACATTCACCCCCACTTAGGAATGCAACGTCCTCGTTGCATCCTTTTTTTCAAACCCCTAGATCTTCCCCGCTAGGTGAACTAAGCTCTTTTGGCCCGTCACAGTCGCAGGGTTGCTCTGATCCTATTTGTAACACCCCGGCCCCCACCCTAGCCGTATGTGTCCGCTCATAGGATTGTAGACTGGCCCCACAAACTAACACAAGTCTTTCCCGCGCACTTTGTCCTCACTCATGCGCGCCCAAGGAATGGGAAGATTTTAAAAAGGTATATTCCTATGAATACTTTTTTCACTTCTAACTATAAACAAAACCAATAATTGTTTTTACTTTGGGTTTAGGGGAATCCAAAGGCTGGATCCTTGAAAACAGTTCCATTGCGTTTTCTAGAGCTTTGTGCAGAATTGTTTGATGGTAATGCTGCCACTGGGATGCACAAGTGGACCTCAACCCAACAAACATCACTGAATGCATCATCTTCTCATTGTCGTCCTAAACCACTTTTGCTACAAGACACTGTTTTGCATGAAATAGAAGATGATGTTACTGACACTGGTCATCAGACCTTTGAGAGTACTCCTGAACCTACTCCTGAGCCTAATCCCGATCGTACTTCTGAGCATACTCCTGAGCATAACCCCGAACCTAATCCAAAGAAAAAGACTAAAATTTCGAAATCAACTATCAATTCGGATGAATTAGCACGTGATATGCAAGAAGCTATACGGTGTTTGATTAAAGGCAAAGAAGGCCCAACAGTTGTTGAGTGTTCAGAGAAGCTAAAGTTGGTTGGGTTAAACCCAATAGATCCCTTATTTTTAGCTGCTTACCATATTTTTGGTGTGTCATTAGACATGAGGGCGGCATGGATGACATTGCCAGAAATTCCAGAAGTATTAAAAGGGTGGATCACGATGACGGCTAGAAGTTTAGAACTTATAAATGAGTGAAAAACACCATTCCCGATTCCACCACCAGGTATGTTTATGGCTTTTTAAATATGTCTATCGTACTTCAATACCTTAATTGATTATATTTCTTTACAGATAAGTATTATCTTTGTGATGCCGCGTATGGACATACACGAGGATTTATGGCTCCATATCGTAATGTGAGGTATTGGCTTGGAGATTTTCGTCGAAGACGTGCATTGACCGATAAAGAGAAATTTAACCATGCACATGCAAAACTTCGAAATGTTATTGAGCGTGCTTTTGGTGTTTTGAAAGCCCGGTTCCCTATATTGAAGAGGATGGCACCATTTCCGTTGGTTACACAAAGGAACATTGCCATTGCATGTTTCGCACTACATAATTTTATAAGGAAAGAGGGCTTGAGCGATGACTTCTTTACAAAATATGATCAACTAAACGTGTCAGCCGTGGGCACGTTGATGTTGATGAAGAAGAGGTTGAAGTACACGGTACTGCATCGGATCGTGAATATATGATCAAGTTACGAGATGAAATTACCGAGCACTTAATGCAAAGTGCGGAATAAATTATTTGAAATATTGTTATTATTGTTATTTTAAAAATACTATTGTTGTTATTTCAGTGCTGTAGAACTCTTATTTAAATTTGAATGTTTAAAAAATATTGATTGCTTTAAAAATCTGTTTATTTTAAATTTCAGTTTATTTAAACAATCTGCAGAAGTTAAAAAACAAACAGTCTTCCTCTTGCAGACTGTAGACCTTTGGTCCACCTCTTCTACTGCAGATGTGTGCAGATGTGGTCTGCAGACTGCAGACCTTTTTCTGCAGAAAAAACAAACAGCACCTTAGTGCCCCTCCTATAGTCCTTGAAGCACAACCCCTGTAATACCCGTATTTAGATGGGAATGGAAAGAGCTCAAAAAGATTGATAGTACTACTCATACCAACAAGGTGCATCGTCTTTTCGAGAGCTCATCATTTAGAAACTCCAAAGTTAAGCCTGCCTGAATTGGAGCAATTTTAGGATGGGTGACCCCCTGAGAAATTCCTTGGGCGCGCACGAGTGAGGACAAAGTGTGTGGGAAAGACTTGTGTTGGTTTGTGGGGCCAGTCTACAATCCTATGAGCGGACACTTACCACCAGGGTGGGGGCCGGGGTGTTACAACCCCAACGATGTCTGACCACAAGCGATTGAAATAACGACAGAGTTTATATTAAAAAAATACTTCTTCTTGTAAAGAACCAACTCAACAAAAAACTAAAACATATTATTGTAGACACATGAAAAATTTTAAGCTCCAACATATCCCCTCACGTCCAAGCTAAGGAGACTTATTTTTTCTCTAACCTTGGACGTGAATTTTATTTTTTTAAAGAAACTGGCAACAGTAAGTTTCAAACTCGTAACCTCGATATCAACAAACTTCTAATACCATGTTAAAATCCAACTTAACCAAAAGATTAAAAACCCCCTGCAAATCAACCCACTTCTACGTAGTATACGATCCTCTAAACTATGTTATTTTAATCTGGTTTCTTCACGAAAGTTGTAGCCTTATGTCTTACAAATTCATAGCTTCAAACGGTTCGCGATTTTGTTGAGTAACAAAGAAGATATATAGTCCAAATACCCCTACTGGTATAGTTGTGATGGAAAGTGACGAACTTCATGGTTTCCAACGTTGTTTTCGCTCCGGTTCGTTTGTTGAGCTTCATCTTGTCGAGTCCCAGGTTTGTACCATGATTAAAAAACAAGGTTAGAAGGTGTGGAATGAACCTTGAACATATTAATTCATATATATTTGAAAATATAAATATTTTTATACTCATAATCACCAAACTTGTTTTTGTTGTAAAAATTTCAAATAAATTGTTTGAAAATGATCTATGAATGTTGGAGAACATTTTTATATAGTCAAATTAAAGTTTGGTAGCCTAAAATGATAGTTTAGAAGCTTGAACTGACAATGAAGACGAAATACTGTTCCGTTGATGCGGAATGGTTGACCGTCGTATGTCCAGTAGCACGGTGATGATAACGGTTGACTGCCGCACGAAATGGTTGACCCTCACGGGCTATTCAGAACTGGAAAAATCCAAAATTTGAAGTTGTAAAATCCTATTTTGCTACTTTTCAACTAAAAGTCATTATCACTATCATTTTCAAGTTAAAAATAACAATTCGATCAATTCTAAAATTGAAATCATTGAATGATGGTAAGTTAGGGAATTGACACTTGAAGTTAGACCGCTACTTGTCATGGATGTTATATGATGATGATTATTACTCCCTCCGTCCCAGAGTATTCGTCCAGTTTTGACTTTTGGAACTGTTCATCTAAGCACTTTAACTCATCAAATTCTCTCAATGTGTAAGCCTAAATATAGTCATGTGTGATCTTGTTTGATTTGTCTTAACATATAGATTATTAATATATAATTTCTATAATTTTTTAATATACAAATTACAAGATAAAATGGATTAAAGAAGTGCATTGGATGGTGTGTAAAAATGAAAGTGGACAAATACTCTGGGACGGAGGTAGTATTAAATATTGATTATGATGATTAAAATAGTGCCCTTTGTAAATATGATTATATAATAAGGATGATGATCTTATCTTGATTAAATACAAAAATATAATTACGAATAAATAAATCATAGGATACCTGCGATTAAATATATTTGTATGAATATCCTAATTAAATGATGATTATGAACAACTAAGGCTATCTAAAAGAATTCTAAGATAGACACCATACGACCAATTTCGTTAGGCCTTGCGGGTATGATGTCTGGCGACTAAGGTTAAAATGTACGTACGAGATCTACAAACTGAATTAGAGGATTACTCGTTTGGGGATACCACCCAACCCGACGGTGAGCATACCATTATTCAATTTATGAGCATGACAAAAAAGACTCATAGAATAGGTCATGATTTTGTGTTCTGTCTTAAACTAATTATAGTTTAAAAGTCACGTTATCAATATGAATTAGCCTCAGGCTAAAACTAGTTTCAGAGTACTGTTATGATTTGGTCGTAGCCTTGAATAGGTTAAGAATATGTATTTATGATAAAGCTCTATACTATTTTATCAAAAAATAACGAAAATAAATAAAGAAAATGATTAAAGATTGATCGTGCCATAGGGAGTATTTTTGTATTTTTGAATCTTGAGTAAATCTAAATTTGTAAGGTGAGTTTCAAGTTTTCAACATAAACCAAGTCTTCAACCTCCCCATCCGTCTCCCATCCGCCGGGCTTCAACCTCTGTCTTTACTCTCTTCCCCCCAGACAAACCATGAGAAATCTTTCTCCATCATCGCCGCCTTCAAATTGACCATTCTTCCACCTCCCATCTACTCCACACATATATATCAACCTCCCCTTCCCCTTCTTCTGGCCTTATTTATCCCAGATTCTTTCCCCCTCTCCCAGAAAGATCAGAAAACCCAGACAGATTTCTTGCGTGTGTGAAATGAATTACTGCTTGTGAAGAAATATTTCTGGCCGGATTTCGATTTGACTAGATTTTATTCGAAGCTCTGTAGCAATGGAGTCGCTGGCGAATTATTGAAGAGGAATCGGCCGGGAAGCGATCGAAATGCGGGTGAGGGAGATGCATCCGCTGTGTTGCCTGTTGCTGGAGAGCGGGGCGATCGGGGACCAGTCGCCGCAGCCTAGGAGGAAGGCGGCGGCGGCGGCGGCGGGGCCGAGGTTGTTGAGGACTGGATCGGCGGTGGTCGGATCTGACGCGTGGTCGGTGGGATCGGAGGCTACCAGCGTCGCCGGCGTCCTTTACAAGTGGACTAATTATCACAAAGGCTGGAGATCCCGCTGGTTCGTCCTCCGCGACGGCATCCTCTCCTACTCCAAAACCCGCCGCCCCGTCCACTCCGCCGCCGCCGACGACGGAGTCAAGCTCATCGGAAGCCTGCCCTCCAACCACTCCGGCGGCCTCCGCAAACCCCGCAAATCCGTCCGCATTGTCCACCTTAAGGTACAGTGGTCTGCTCCCTACACGATCCCACTCTCCTTTTCACCCACTATTGGGTAAAATCTAGAAATTTCCACTACATTACAAAATCTATTTTTTACCCCCCACTAAAAAGGGTAAAAGCAATGAATGAATGGGATTAGGTGAGTTCGTCACCACTTTCCAAATCTATGAAAGTTTTCTGTTCATGACTGCCACCAAATAGCTTGGAAATCTGAGCTTCTTGAAAGAGCCCAGAATTTACCATGGCCCCGGAGGCTGGGTGAAATCTCATGCAAAAAAATTCACCTTCATGTTAAAATTTAACTGCTTGTTTAAGGTGTACTTAGTCACATCAAGTGGGGTAACCCTATAATTGCCTACTAATAGGTTTAAGGATAAAATTACTACGGAGTATTACCTCTATTCTTTTTTTAGTTTTTTTAATGAATACGGAGTAAGTATGATTTTTTTTGATAAATTAAAAATTGAATGAATGCAAAAATAAGTATGTTTACATCATTTATTTTCTATATATAGTATTAAGATAGTCATTAAAATCAATTAAAAAAGAATAGGGAGAATAGAACATTGTTTGCTTTCCCACTCAAAAAAAGATGAACTTATCTCTAGGAGGTGGTAAATTAAGCTATAATATCACATCTCACTATTTTAAAACTCATGGAACTTATGTTTATTAGTACGTTTTTCATCTACTAATTGATAAAATAAAATATTTTTATCACTTTTTATTTTTTGACGTAGCTTCTAACTATTAAGTTTTACTTTTTTCTTATTTTTATACTATTTTTTACTCCGTAAATAAATTGATTTGAAAAAAGATTAGTAGAGAGGATAAAAAGCATTCTTTTTCTCCATATTTTTGGCTAGATAGTAAACCCACCATTTTGTCAGCTTGACTTTCTGATCTTGCGTCTGTATTTCTCTCTTCCTACTCTGTCGACAAGTCTTATCGATCTCCAAATCTTGACCTGGTAGTGGGCAACTATAGTGCTATGAACAGTGCATTTTTGGGTCCATCTCAACATTAAATTTCGTTATTTCTTTTAAGTCTATTCAAAATATACCCAAATTTTTTAAAATAAATTTTGCAAGTTAAAATTGTATTTTTGTAACATTGACAATTTGTGTGGTGCGTATTTTAATTTTCTAATCATTACTCATCTAGAAATGCATTATCTAATTCTCTTTGGAAA